ACTTGAATTTTTCTGTATATATATATATATATATATATATATATATATATATATATATATATATATATATATATATATAGGGCTCATTTTTAATTTACTGAAGACCGTTTGGGAATATATTGGTTGCATCATTACAAACAATTTTAGCGAAATCACTCTTTACAGAATATAATACATTTACAAAAAAAATTCTTTTACTTTTTCATTGTCAAGTCTGATTCCTTGTAAGTCTATATTTTGTAGTACTTAAACAATTTCTGAATAAATCGTCTAAGAAAATGACAAGTGTCGCGGGCGAATCAGAGGTGACTGAGCTGACGACACAGGTAATTAGGTTAAGTTCAAATGAGTAAGCGCCGGCTCCTACACACCCCTCCACCCTTACCCCTCCACCCTTACCCCTCCTTACGCCTTAGAACTATTACCTTTTAGAAAGTCCAATTAAAATACTTTAATTTTTTATGAAAATAAAAATTGAAGAAAAATATTATATTTTCGTACAGATGTTGTTATAATGATGTAAATAGTATATTCCCAAAAAGTCTTCAGTAAATTAAAAATTACCCTGTATATTTATCGATGCTTGACAGAAATGACATTTGACAAAAACCGCGTCTTTTTATTACTGGAAGGGCGCCATCTTGTAAAACCATCAACAACTTTGGATTGCATTTTTATTTTTAGCAAGTTATTTAGTTTGATATGTTCTCTCATTTTATATTTAACAAAATCCCTGAATTTTTCTCTTTTTTACGGTATACTGTACATAGACTGGGCCAGAAATGGACCGTCTCCTTTAACTTTTATAAAAATTGTTATATAAATTCATATTTTTTTTTAACAAAAAATCACCTTTCATACTGCAAAATAACATTCGCCATTAAACCACTCGTAAATCTGAGATAAAAGCCATGTATGAAAAATTTATTCAAGTCGCGTCCGCTTCTGGTTCTTTGTATTGCTAATTCCATTTTATTATTTTCTATTCTATTGTCATTAACTTCGTAAAAATGTCGCTATAATTTAAGTGAATCCCTTGACGAGCAATGTCGAATCTTAAAGAAAATTACTGTAACGTTTTGTATAATATTAAACAGTTACAGTTTTAACTAAAAACACTGTATGCAGTATACTATTTTAGTCACACGAATGGATCAGCTCAACCAAGAAAGGACCACGCTCTCGTATAAAGCTTGAATAAAATTGCAATTTAATGTTTCCATGTTTCAAATACTTAGTGTAGAAAACCGGTAGTGCTCACGGGTGACAATGCATCCACGATTTGATTCTTAATCGAGGATAGATGCAGGTGTCTACAGGCCTACCACACAAGCCTAGGGGCCCTAGGCTTGTGTGGTCTTTTTTAGCCTTTTCTATAACACAATCGACGTTCCACTTTCAAACTGTAAAAATTTACTTTCATCGTCATCATCATCAATATCACCATCCATACATAGGTCTCTCCATAGATTGCCTCTTATGGGAGGAATATACCAAAGTTACGTTTGGCAGGCGGGGTGACAATCGTCGTTTTTATTTTATTTCCTAGTTGTTATATGGAAAACGCTGCTGCTCACATTTTGGGTTTTTTCCCTCTGGCACCTCTTACGACATCCACGGTACGATTTGAGGTAGTTGATAATCTTACAACGCTTCCACTTTACGGTAAAAATGTAAAGATTACCAAAATCATTTCTCGTTTTCGGTTTGATAAAGAAAAGGTTCGTATTTTTAATGTACACCGGCAATGCTTTTAACAATACTAAAGGGAATTTTTACTGTAGGGAGGAATTATAAGTACAGGTGCTACGAGTGGTTCATGACAGTGAGCGAATGGCAGATTTGAAGCCACGGTTTTTTGTATTACACAGTTTGTATTCTAAGCTATTACCGTAGTATTGCCTTAAAATTTAGTTTAGTTTTATATGTATCAAAATTAAATTGCATTGAGCAGGTTGCATGTTATCTAAATTTTGTGTTCTTTTGCTCCGATTATACATTCTAAAATCCATCCAAGTGTCAAGTATCATCAAGTATCATTTGTAATAGCTGCGAAATAGTAAATAACTACCTATTTTAAGTTAGTATCCAGTAAGGGCATAAAAGAGTCAGGGCTTTCATGTTTTTTTTTAAGCAAATGCCCTTAAATAAAGTTTGATTTGAAAAAGGTTTAATAGCTAAGATTCAAGAAATGCATGGCAGTTCTTAAAAACTAAAGAGTGTATTTTCTCGATAAACAAATTCATCCGCGAAAATTCCTGTAGTAATGTTCTTATATAGACCAAAAACATTTTATAAGACTTCGTTGATTTTGTGATTTTCCGGAAAAAGTATTTATCAATATACAAATATTTCTAGTCTTCGTTAATTTTGTGACTTCTCTGGATGAGTACTAAGATTAATATAAGAGATATTGTGAGTCCTTAAAAAAATTATTTATGAAAATAAAAATATTTGAAGACTTTTTCTATATTTGAGAGTTTTTCTTTGTCATAACAATCGCAAAATGCGAAGGAAAATTTTAACACAGTATGCAATGCCGTATTTTTAAATTACGTGACGTATATGCCAAGAAACTGATTCCAAAGGGACTTAAACTGACTGAAAGGGAAACCGTAATGTAATCTTATACCATTCTTATTTTCTTTTTTCTTATTGCATTGAGTGCGTAGTAAATGTTGAAAATAGAATAACTTATACGAAATAGAGTATGACAAATTCGAAATATGAACGAATTATTGCAAAATGATAAAATATGCTGTGTGGTGTCGCAGTAAGAGAATAAAATATAATCTGTGGTTGTTGCAAGATACCATTGGGAAATACTAAACAGACAGGCTTCCAACGAAGGACGAAAATAAACATCCAATGCCGCGTAAAATCACTGAACGGTGTTGAGAAACAACTTTAAATGTTCAAAATGTTTCTGCAGTTACCAGTCTGCCTACCAAGTGACCGTTATAGTAATTTCTATAATGTACATATGTACGTATATAATGACGTTGGCAATTTAAAAAAGAAGAGAGAGAGGAAAAGTAAAAATAGTTACAAGGGACTAAAAAATAAACGATCGAGTTGTTAAAATTGTGCAATATTTTTTAAATTTCTTCACGAGTATACTGAGTTCAATACCTGCCACTATTTAAATTTACTATAAAAAACTAATGAAGCTTAAATGTCTGAGTCATTATTAATATTCCGAAGAGATGTGAAGTTAAATATAAATGGTCCAGTGTGCCTACTGCTTTCCTATTTCAAGAAAACCCTATCTAAAAAAAGTAGTCTAAACGAAACTGTAGGACGCATATAGACTATTACTTAACTTACACTCTCAAAATTTATTTGATTGCAAAGATTGTATTTGCCAAACAAAAGATTTACCTATAAATCACAGAAATGGTAAAAAGAAGTCGTAACTGCGATCTAGAAAATAAATTAAAACTTTGGTAACGTTTGGTATTCCGACAAACTGGGTAGAGTTGAAAATAAGACTTGTTTGTGAAAATATTATTTGATAATTTAATTAAATGAAAAACTAACGTAGGTTGTTCTTTAGATATTAAATATAATTCGACTCGATTGTGTGTTACCTAAATTCGGTGGATAATGTGCTTGAGATTGATAAGTTTGGCTATAACCAAATTGAGGTCATCAATAAGGCTCTTGGTACGCGACTCCACTGAGTCCAAAACTGTAATGTGGCATTTTACGGCACCATCCCGTATGATTGAACAGTACTCAAGTTGAGATCAATTTGAGATTAAAATACTTTTTCTTTTTGCATATTCTTGATTTTTATTTTGTCTAAATTGCCCAAAAGTTTTTCATTTGCTACCATTTCACAGCTCGGATACAATATATTGATATTTTGGATGTAAAACCTCTGTTCGAATCTATTCAGACATAAAAAGCATAAATGTAAGAAAGAAAGAAAAGAAACTGTAAATGAAACGATAGTTTTTCCGAAGTTACGTATTTTAATCAATGCGGTGGGATTTAGACAGAAGTTTACCAGCAATCCGGGAACAAAATGTTTTCATAGACGCAGATGTCTATAAAAAACTTTGTACTTTTAAATAAAACCTATTCCTAGTAAAAACTATCCAATTTTTTTTCAACAAATGAAAAGCAATATTGCACTCTTATAATTTAAAGTTAAAAAATTAAAATATTTTAAGCGTAGGTATTTATTATTGATTTTTTAAAGCAATGAGTGTTTCTAAATTTGAAAGCAATAAATATAAAAAAATACCTTACTCTAGCTGTAAACATATACTGTTTTATTTTATGAAAAAAAAAAAACATTTTTATTGACTGCCGATGTTGTGCATGCAGGTCAAAACCTAGCAATAACTTAAAAATCTATCAAATACTCAGAGAAAATATGAGTTCTATTAATCGATGTAAAGCTTCATATTCAAAATGTACCTAACAACATTTTATTAACTAACGAATTTGACTAACGAAGTGGCGTTTAAGATCCCAAATCGTACCGTGCATGTCGTAAGAGGCGACAAAGGTAAACTTGAACAGTAGGTGGGCAGCAGCAGCTTCCTGATAACAACTTAAAATAATAAAAAACTGCGGTTGCTAACCCGACTGCCAAGCGGGGCAACTATGGCAAAATCCTTCCAATGAAACAATCTTTCGGGGAGGCCCATGTTCAGCAGTGGACTTTATAGGCTGTTATAAAAAAAATGAAACTAACGATTGATAAATATTAAATTATTCATTAGAAAGTACCGTACTCAAGTCTACCTGATGATTAGCAGTCTTTACCTTTAGGATGAGTATTTCGGCTCGAGCATTTAAGTAGCATCAAGTATTCGAAGTATCAGCGCTACCCTAAATAACATCTTTGCAATCAATGCATGGAAGGTGCTTCCTAAAAAAGCCCTTAGCCCGATGCGGACTTAGAAAGGTTGATAAAGAAGAAGTATAGGCGGAAACATATTAGCCGTTTTAGGTCACCATTTGTTAATTCATACTATTTTTTTCAGATTCAAGGCAAGCCCATCATTCAACAAAGAATTCTACCGAGTCCGGCTGTAGCTATCGACATCCCGCAAATACCGGACCAAAGCACTTCGGCCCCTGGTGAAGAAAATAGCAATATCATATTCAGACCATGGAAAGCTTTTGGACCTTTTGTTGATACAATACAGGTAAAAATAAATGCACTATATACTTTTATTGTACTTGAAATCATATTCATTTTTAAGTAAAAGTGAGATTTTAAAACTCCTTGTTCTGCTACACCTATCCATTCCGAAAATTTTAATCCAAATAAACTGATGTTTTAGTATATTATTGGACATACTCTATTAAGTAGTGTAAAAGTATAGGAACTACGCTTACCATATCACCAACCCTGCTCAGCGTGGGGACTTTGTGTGCTTCTTTCTATACGGAAATTGGGGTGCATTCTTCTGAATATCCAAGATTAGATGTTGAAAATACTTTTTTAATTTATTTACTACAAGATTCTCACATCACCATAAACAATTACATTATCACGAAAGTCGTAGGGGTTTATCTGTGATGTACAGTCGTCATATTTATGATGTAAAGTATTACTTTTTGTGCCCCTTCCTGTAGCTGGCGCGATGAGTGTGACTCTGCATTCAATCCGGAATGTTTACAGTGTAAACTTTAAATTTATTAATGATTTGTGGCGAATATGCATTGCGTTATATTTTATTTATGTTTATGGAGTAATAAATACGTATGGGAATAGAAAAAATTTTTTTTTAACTTTTTAGTCTGTTTTAAAGACGTCTTTTATTACTAACCATCTGAGCGTTCATGGCTCAAAAAACGTTTTACATGTCATTACAACTTGATCCGAAATAGCGACGACCCCAATAATCGCTAAGTAACAGACTAGCTATGTTAATGAACTGTATAAGATAAATTTACGAATTCCCGAGAGGCTTTGAGATTTTCTTAGAACAATTATTATACTCTAATTGATTTTAGACGTTGATTAATGAAATTATCGAGCAATGTTTCCGTCCCCCATCTTTTCGGCTTACTTATGTACCTATATACTATAAATATGATTCTTGGTACGGAAATAGATTCATAATCAAATCATAGTTCTTTTATGATTTTATATTAACTCTGATATTTTGTTACTAATAAGAGAATATTAGTTTTAACCTAAAGGAATTTATCAACTCTTTCCATCTTCCTTTCGATTTAACTATAATCAGATAAACGTGGATTCGGCCAAACGATAGTAAATTTTATTCTTAGAATAAATCGTTATTTATTCTAGAATATTTTAATGACGTCATAAGTTTCTTCGCTGATGTTACTGTCACTCTCAATTTCAAGCTCACTTCGTCATAATATATATTATTATATTTTGCGTTTATTCTGACTGATTCGTTATTTCAAAACACACAATTTTATCAAGAAATAATGCACACAATAAAAACAACCATTACGAATAAAATGTCAAACCTTGCAAACGGATCGACATTGACACTCATTCACAACTATTTTATAGATATCTACTATTATACGAAAAAGCGAGTTGACACGATATAAGCTTTTACATCTTCCTATAAAAGAACAATATTCATTTGCAGAGTTTAACATTTGTTTATCGAGGTTAAGGAATCACAATCACGTGATACGTGGTATAGCCATGCTGCAGCTATATTAGTTAGTATAGTTGTAACACGAATTGGTCGGCTCGGCCGGGGAAGCACCACGTTCCCACAGAATACCAGCGTAAAATAGCAGCTTAACACTGCTGTGTTTCGTATGGTGAGTGTAGAGAACCGGAGACTCTTTTTACTGGAAACGAGGCATTCGTTCTTAGTCCTCACGGGTGACAACGTATCTTCACTTTGATTCGCAAACGAGTATAGATGTAGATGTCTATGGGCTACAGCAACCACTTACCATCAGGTGGACGGTGTGCTCGTCTTTCACTGTATCCTATAAAAAAAAATTTAAAAGTAAGATAAAACTTCAGCCTTTACCCAGGCACAAACTTTTTCTTATTTTTGAGAGGGTTATTAAATAATAATTTGTTGCTCTACTCCAGTCTATTTTGGTAAACTTCATATATATTCGACAATTTTTCGAGTGGTAGGACTTCTCTTCCAACTAGTAGCTAGTAGTCCAGTACCAATCCTTTACTTATTTCTGGCGCCCAACAGTAAAAATGGTCAGTATAATTACATAATAGTAAGTAAACAAGCTGAAAGGCATTACATCTTAGTTATCAGTGGTGACAACGCAACTGTAGCCCTCTTTGTTTAAAATTGTTTGCAAGTATTCATGAGCTGCAGTAGCCACTTACCATCAGATGAACTGCTGTTTCGCTTGTCAGTTCAATTTTATAAAAAAATATTCAGCCGACAGAAAGGATTCCTCAACATTACTTTCTTAATCACCGAGTCAGCACTTAAAATCACTACTAGCAACGTGATTGTTGCTGGCTGGTATCGAACTCAGGCTGCTCTAAACGAAGCGAATGCTCTATCTCAATCCCTTATACATATATGTATATATATATCTAAACCTAAAATGCCAACCGAGATCAGAGACGAAAAGCGGATTAATGTTTGCGAGGCAAGTGTGCTCATTATAGTGAACGAAAACATTGGAAATGGCTTAGGTTCAGTAGGGACATGAATGTATAATCTATTTCTAATGTTGAATACACTAATTATGTATATTTTTCCTTCTTGATACTACTAAATAATGTCTTGGTAAAGTTAGTATGTTATTTTAACATACTACCTTTACCAAGCATGTACATATTTGAAGCAAGTGTCCATGTAAAAAAAAATTACATATGTACAAAAAAGCATCTGAGGTATATTTACGTAACATACGAAAATCTAGTAGACTAGTTTTAGAACGTTTACCTAAAACTGCCTTTTATCATAATGGCTTTTACACGATGAGTGTAAAGATTTACAATAAACTTCCGGTAAGCATTAAAGAAGAGAAAGAAACTGGTAAATTTAAAACTAAACTCAAAAGCTGGCTTTTATTAAAATGTGTTTATGATATAAAACAATTTTTAAATGAATAGAATCTTGTTGCCTTAATTTGACTTTACTATATTATTTTAGACTTTATTTTTGTGTAATAATTTGTATACTTTTTTGACATTTTAATTTTTGATATTTATAATGATTGACATGATAATTGTAATTTTAATTTAATTTAATTTAATAATTCATAATTAACTTCTTTGCTTGAATTATTATTGTAATTTTAACTTTTTTAATTTATATTTATTTGGTTTAATTTAGTCTATGTACTTAATTAATTATTTTCATTTAAATAATAATTTTCGCATGCCAGATGTGGTAAACATGTGGACTATGTATAATATGCAACTATGTGTCACCTCTGATGTACCATGTTTAAGCGAATAAATGATATTATTATTATTATTATTAAAAGCGTGTCTAGAACACGCTTTTAGTAGTGTCTTTAAGTACTTTAGTAAATGGAAAATATTGCTATTATTCCATAATTAAGATGTAATAATGAATTTTCGCTATAAAGAAAAACATGAATATAAGATATAATATGTTTAAATACATTCCTGAACTTGACACTGTTAAAGTTTGTTAATTGCAACTTTCGTTCCAATTCACCAGGATGGTGACCTTCTGCCGAGTCAGGACACAGTGCTCTTCCCTAAACCGCGACCAAGCGATGGGGTCTTAGAGGAGGACGTCACAGATCCGATGCCCACTGCGGAATCGTCGAAAAAGGTAAATTATAACACGTCTTTTCAACTCTCTTTCTGGTTTGTCTGTCTGTTAGGTACAAATTTTGCAATCTTATTCATTTAGCAATTTGGAAGTAGCTTAGAACTGGATGAAAATGCAATATTTGCATTCTTTCTTATCTGTCTATTTGTTTTTATCTGTTCGCTACAAATTTTTGAATCCATTTAAAACAAACTAGCCCATAAAATAGACAATTTAAATGAAGCTCAGAATTTCATGACTGAATAAAACGCAGAAAAAAAACTATTATCAAAAAAAGGCTGACTTCAAAAAATAAAACAAAAAATACAAATAAAACAAAAACGTGGAGCGCATGTAATAGTGAGGACTGTAACGCATGTAATAACACTCAGTGCAATAAAAATGTTAATGACACAGGTGAACTATACAATATATATTGCGTTTTTCCTTTTTATTTGTATTTGTGGGCTTTTAAATCTGTATGGGTCTAGGAAAAATTATTTTATACCTTTTTAGTAAGTTTTAATAACCTCTATTATTTTAATATTGAATATTTAACACTTGTGAGCCGTTCCATCTTAGTTTGCATATGTGTTCTGACTTCTACTGACAACGCATTTGTAGTCTTCTTTTTTAAATTGGGTGGTGTCCATAGGCTACAGTAACCACTTGCCAAATGTTTGGTGGATAGTAAGTTTGTTTATCACTTCAGTTTCATAAAAAAATATTTTGTTGAAAAAAGTAACAGCATTTATATACATAGTTCCACTTCTGCGCCAGCTCTCGTTTCTGACAAGGTTTTGGAGGAGGCTATATGTTTCCCATTTTTTTTTAGTTTCTTACACATTAAGGTTTTTTTATGATTCTTTCTTCCTCGTCCAGTATGTGAATCAGTATTTAAAATTATAAGTACTTAATAATCTCACTTTTGTCGGCGCGAATCAAAATCCGTTGTTTTGCATAATAAAGTTTGAGATGAGTGTTGATTCTTGAGCTACCACGGCTCTTGTAAAGTAATAAGTATAATTGGTATAAGAAGAAAGATGGGACGAAAAAGTAAGATGTAACTTAATTATGTATAAATTATATCTCTAATTCCCTAATCCCCTCACAGAATTCAACTTTTATTGTTGATTTATAGAATGATAATTTTACGAAGTGACTGATAATCCGTCCACCAAGGGAATCAAATGATTATCTTGTTCACCTGAATATATTTCTAGACACACTAAAGCGTCTCAGACCAATTTATACAGCATCGTAATGGTGAGTGTAGAAAACCGGATAGCTTTTTTACTGGTAATGAGGCATGCAACCTTAGTCCTCATGGGTGACAATACATCTATATTTTGATTGTTAATCGAGAACAGATCACTATTATCACTCTTGTTATATTTAAAGAAAATGCTGCGTGACAGCTCCGACGCGCGACTGGAGTTTTTTTTAAATACTAGTAATGCTGTTAAACATTACTAATGTTCCCTTTAACTACTTCTGGTAATCTTAAAATGCTTGTGTTAGAAGTGGTTCACGACAGTAGTCGAATGGCGGATTCGAACCCACGACCTTTCGAGTTCGCGGTCTGCGCCCTGCCATTAGGCTACTGACGTTTACTGTTTTAAACCATTGCTGTGGCAAAATTTTGAATTAATTATGTATTCACTACTTAGTGTTGTTTGTTATTTAATTCTTAACGAGATAATGAACGATATTTTTTCGAATAGTTTAATGTTATTGGGTTAAAGATAGAAATTATTCAACTCTTTGAAACTACACACGTAACAATATCAATCAAGTATATTTGTGGTTGTTAGTAAAAGGAACTAATTTTTTAATCAGGATAGTAATCGCTTTATTTTTAACTATTTTTTTACCACGCGAACATATTACGATGCGCGAATGTGTTGCGCGGAGGGGCAACATAAACTTTACATTTTTGTTGATACTCGACTTCGCGCTCCAACCAATTTGTATACAGCGTTTATATGAAAATCGATCCTTAAGGAGTAAACTTCAAAAATTTTCGAAAAATTAAGTAAGGGCGATGCACCGGCAGTGTGTAATAGAACCAAAAATTTGAAGTTTTTTCGAGCATCGTCACTCAAAAACTAATAGACATTTTTATAATAGAATAAGGGTGATAAACGGGCACACAGTCTACCTGATGGCAAGTGAATGCTGTGGCCCATATCAGCTACACTTATCTTCAATTAAGAATCAAAATACAGATGTGTTGTCGCCCCTGAGGATTGAGATGGAATACTTCGTTTTCGGTAAAAAGGGTCACCGTTTCTCTATCTACCCTCACCATACGAAACACAGCCACAGTCAAGCGGAACCATTTGAGCTACAACCACAATATAGCTGCAGCGTGGCTCTACCATATGAAACTCGCAATTTTGAATGTTTAATAAGGCTCCGTGAAAACCTACCAAGTTTGGTACAAACGACATTCAAGTTTGTCACCTTCGCTAATAAAAGAGTTGAGGTCTTAGAACACACGCTGTGGGAAGTCTGCAATATGTCAACATGTTCAGGATTGTCCCAACCATTATATCAGATTTGATAGGTCGCATATCCTCGCAAAAAAACACCGATTCGTACCAAGGATGATTTGCGAGGCTATTGAAATTAATAAAGAAAAACATCAGAATTTCAAAAAAGATTGCTGAGTGCTACCATCTGCTTGGGACCCCATAATTAATAAAATTAAATTCAAACCCAAGCATACTACTGCAAGAATTCAGGATACTGTAAGCTCGTTCGGCGTAGACCAAAAATTAATAATCGATCCCCCCCCCCCCCTCCTCCCCCCCATTACCATGAGTATTGAAAAGTGCTCAAAACGTTGGGAATTAAAAGATTTAAAATTAAACACGATAAAATCCATAAAACTATTTTATTCCACGGTTTTTATATTTAATTAAAATATATTGATCCCAGGTGGCGTCTATCAGCCAGCTGTCGTTCATGGTGCGACCGGATAGTTTTGAGCGGGGCCAGCTTCGGCTTACTTGCATATCTACGGTACACTCAGTGTACAGCGAGCAAGCTGAGCTTGTCATCAACGAAGAAAGGCCACAAATTGCCTCTGTACTCGGCACAAGGGATCGAGCAGGTATGTATATTAAGAATGTTTGTAATAAGAAGAATCAATGATTTTAAGATACAGGTGTCTCTTATTACGCAATGTACCTGCAGACCAACGTACCTTGTCTCATCCGTTATTGTAGTCAATCATTCCGTGATTACCTATTCGATCAGCCGCGAGTTAGGTAATTTCATACCTTTAATGTGTTGATATTTGTAAAAATTTAAACATCTTAAAGTAAACTGGAGGCGTAACAATAAAAATTAATCACCCCACTCCGTCTCGTGATTGTCCTAAGAGGCAACTAGGGGAAATTCCAGAAAAAATCCAATGGTTATCGATAGATGGCGTTAAAACCATTCTGGTAACGCCAGATGTAAAATACCCAGAACGGCAACGGACAGCAGTGTCAAAGGTTCGAGAACTCTGGTACTGCAATCGCAAATTCACCTGTCAAGCTTGGCGATTGAGGCAGTGGACTTAAATGAAATGATAAAGTAGAAGAATAATGATACCTAATATTGTATAAAACATGAATAAACAATTGCAAATGTATTGCGTATACATAAATTCTAAAATTTCGTGATTATAATTATACCTCGTGAATACTAAATATTAGTGCCAAAAGTGAAATCCATTAAATTACTATTATTGAAAAAACGAATAGGACTTTAATCGCGAGCGAATCCATTGAAAGCTTTTACGGATCTGACAGATTATCGGACAAATTAATTGATGAACTTCATGTTACGGTCAATCCAAAAGTAATCCTCAATTTAATTTGAATTAGATATAATTAATAACATTATGAAAATTATAAATGATAAGGTTTTTAAAGTGGTAGTACCACACTGCAGATATATTATGGTTGCAGCACGAATGACACGGCTTGACTGGGGAAGGATCACGTTCTCACAGATTTCCAACGTAAATAGTAGCAAGTGCAACGAAACGAAGACCCTTTTTACTGGTAATGCGGCATTTTTACTGTTACTAAGTCTGCACGCAACGCTTCTACATTTTGATTCTTTAGCGAGGATAAATATAGAGCATCCACATAAAATGAAGTATTTATTATCTACATCAGATATACTATTTTTATAAATAGTAAATCTGATGTGGGTTTTTTACTATAACTAATTTGACCTTATTTATTTCGTACTCATCTAGGTTCCTCCTGAAATGTGTTTTTGAAAAGTCAGGTTACCAAACAAGCATATAGTCCACCTAATAATAAGTAGATGTTATATAGTTCATATACACCGATTAACGATTACCGTCTATTTTGCTTGACGATACCTCGTTTAAAGGCGAAACACGTGTCGTATTATCGACGATGATATGTCTTTCTTATTTTAGTAGTGTTGGAATTAGTGGTGACGGGAATAGTGCATGCAATTAAGGGAGGGTGGGAGTGCTTTTCAAACTAGGTAAGACACATAATTTTTATTTTTTTACGTGGATCTTACCTAAATAACTTTTTACATCTTTATTATTAAGGATTTTCGATAATAAAGTCTGATTCTAATAATTGCCCAATAAACTACAAATCCATTTTATACGTGGTAGAGCCATGCTGCATCTATATTAGTAGTATAGTTGTAGCACGAATGGGTCGGCTCGACCGGGGAAGGGCCACGCTCTCACAGAAAACCAGCGTAAAATAGCAGTTTAACACTGCTGTGTTTCGTATGGAGAGTGTAGAGAACCGGAGACCCGTTTTACTGGCAAAGAGGCATTCCAACTTAGTCCTCACGGGTGACAACGCATCTGCATTTGATTCGCAAACGAGGATAAATGTAGATGTCTATGGGTCACAGCAACCACTTACCATCAGGTGGACTGTGTGCTCGATTGTCACCCTATTCCTACAAAAAAAAAATGAAAAATTAGAAAAGGTATAATAAAGACACAGTACAGGTTTAACAACGCTTAATTATACAGACCAATGTTCTTTTGTTACGTACATTGTATTAAATTCAGAAAGAATTTCAAAGAGTCAAACTGAAACAAGCAAAACGCTCTTAGCACGGGCTGTTGAGAATTTTTATATTTCGATGTAAACAGTGCCTTTGAATACCTAGAAAGCAAACCAATCCCACTCTACAATTCAAATATTTGTTGCAACTGACTTGCACTGCAATTTGCCTCAAGAGAACTTTCGGGTGAAATGCGAGTGCTTCTTGGAAAGCGAATAAATATGTTAGAATTAAAAAATACATTTCAGTAACCGTGTCAACATAATTACGGGGGAAACTGGGAGAACATTGTGAATTAAAATAAAATTCAACGAATCGTAAAATCGGCTGCTGAAAGTGACGATATTCACATATTTATTATAGAATTTGGGTGACAACCGAGCACACACATAGTCCACCTGATGGTAAGTGGATGCTGTAGCCCGTACACATCTACATCTATCCTGGATTAAGAATCAAAATGCTGATGCGTAGTCACCCCTGAGAACTACAATGGAATGCCTCGTATCTAGTAAAAAAGGTCTCCAGTTCTCTACACTCACCATACTTAACACATTAGCATTAGAATAGAATAGAATAGAATAATTTTTATTCAATATACATTTCATGTGTAATTCTTATTGAAAGTCATTTTTTACTTTACCACTGGTTCGAAAAAAAAACCCTCTGTCCTGGGAAGAACCAGCAAGAAACCCATCGGGACTTTCTTTTTAAATAAATTTTACAATATAAATGATTACGAACTATTTACAAAATTTATTTTAGAAACTGCTTGGAAGCGACCACCTCATTCCCAGGGGTTATTATCAACCATGTATTCATTTATACTATAATAACCCTTTTGATACAGTTTCAGCTTAACAAACATTTAAACTTGGTAATAGAGAGAACCTGTACACTTTCCGGGACCTTGTTGTAATAGCATATACATTGCCCCAAGAATGAATTACTGACTCTGTGAAGTCGAGAAACTGGCATCACTAGCTTGTGTTTGTTCCTAGTGTTTACAGAATGTATATCACTTTTTTTACTAAAACTATCTTTGTTTTTGTGAACATACATTAAATTTTCGTAAATATAATGAGAGGCCAAATTAATCTGCTATTATACGCTGATTGACTTGAATAACAATGCAAGCCTTGCTGTATAGTGGTACTATACACCAATAAAATTTTACTATATACAGAACAAAGCATGGATCAGAAAATGAAACCAAATCAAATTTTATATATACATATGTAAAATAATAAAATACTGTAAATTTTTCTTTATTAATTCTAAAGCTAATAAAACATATGTAAAACATTCTCCAATTGAAAATCTTTTATGAATTACTCGCTGTATCAATAACACGGATTGCAATTCATGTGGTGCTCATCAATAATAAAACATGAATATTGCCAAAACTCACATAAACGGGATGCAAACTTCGCCAATATCTCGTATATGTAGGCAATCACTCAAATATTTGCAACCGTTGGCTTCTATACCATCCCGGCTGTTTGTTGAGTCTGAATATTCCGGCCGAGTAAGCAAAGGTAATGTTTAGTGTATGTAGGCGATGTGATGTTGTGTTGGAGCTGTTTACTCGGCATAGCTGAGCAAATACGACAGGAATGCTGCGTAAGTCATGCCCTGTGGCTAGAATAGTGTCCGTTTTGAGCTGTGAGTGATTTTAAAGGAGTTTCTTTTCTTCACATAATTTAGAAATCTGCTGTGATTTATTTTTTTAACATTCTTTTATTAGCTTGGTTTTTATTTATGGAACGGAATTTGTGAATATGATTTTCATCCCTTTCAATACGTTGGATTGATTTGAAATTTCGCGCACATATCAAGGACCGATGACAATGCAATAATTTAAATAGTTTGCCCCATTATCCTTGGCAGGATCCTCAGGGTTAGCGAATAATTCATACAACAAGCTCAAGCAACTACGATTGCTGCCAGTTCAATCTACTGTAATCCGCGTGAAAAAACGTGTAGATATTTGTATTTAGCCGCAACTAAAAATAGAAAATGAATAATAGTTAAAAATATTAATTAATTTTATATTTAAACGAAAAACAGTCCGGAAATAAAAGTAAAATTCATCGAGTCAGACACCGACAAAGGCAAAACAACGTCTGCCTGGGCAATTTGTATAATATGATATATAAGCTATTTCGGGTATAGCATTACAAGGATCTTTTTCCTTTTCTGCCGACTTCCAAAAAGAGCCGGTACTCAATTCGACTGTATGTTTTTTTTTTTTTCGTTTTCTTTTTTTTTTTTTTTTTTATGTGTGTTACCTCAGAACTTTTTTCTGGGTGAACCGATTTCGATGATTTTTTTTTTATTTGAAAGCTGGTACTTCTCGTGTGGTCCCATATGAATTTGATCAAGGTCAGACCAATAGTTTTTAAGTTATTCTTAAATAACTTATATTGAAGTCGGCTGTACAAAATTTTTAATTTTAAATTATTTAGTTACAAGTTTGTTTTTTTCTTTATTTTTATTTTGATGAAATTAGAATGACTAACAAGCCAACAATCTACTAGGTGGTAAGTGCTTACTGCAGTCTATAGTCACACGCTATTTTAAAACGAAGAAGTTTGCAGTGGCACTGTTACCTCTAAGAAGTAAGGATTATACCCCACATCATTATGCTGGCTCTTTATGATTTTCAAACCGAAACTCAATAAGAAATGTATTGTTGCTTGGCGAAAGATATAGGTAAGAAGAGAGCACCTTCCCAGGTGAACTTGGTTTGCTTGTGGCAGGCAATCCAAGGACTTTACGTGGTAGAGCCATGCTGCAGCTATATTAATAGTATAGTTGTAGCACGAATGGGTCGGCTCGACCGGGGAAGGACCACACTCTCACAGAATACCAGCGTAAAATGCAGCTTAATGCTGCTGTGTTTCGTATGGTGAGTGTAGAGAACTGGAAACCTATTTTACTGGATAAGAGGCATTCTATCTTAGTCCTCACGGCTGACAACGAATCTGCATTTTAATTCGCAAATGAAGACAGATGTAGTTGTCTATGGGCTATAGCAACCACTTACCATCAGGTGGACTGTGTGCTCGTTTGTCACCCTAATTCTGATTTTGAAAAACAGATATTTTGTTATCTTTTGTAACGATTAAGGTTTATTGTATCTGTTTTTATTAAAAATATTACACAAGTAGTTCACACAATAAGTAAGTGGTTGAACGAAGTATAATTTATATTTAAACATATAATTCGATAAACCAATCGACATATGCAAAACCGAAACAATTCATGTTGAATATCAGACATACAATGCTTTTAAAATGTTATTTGAAACTGTCTGTGCATTGGAATAAAAATTCACGCTGAATAGACACGGAGAAATGTCTGCTCCTTGGTGTAACGCAAATAATGAGCTTACTTTGAATTTTCTCGGTTGAAAAATATGAAACAGAGGGCACATTTTTATTTCTGTTCATGAAAAACGGCTTTGCAATATAAAACACGATGTTACATAATACTTGTCATCAACATCATCACTTTTATGGTGATTATAATGTCCTCCTGACTGAATTTCGATCACAACTGTCTTAACAGAAACTAGCCATGCATTGCAAAACCTGCGTATTACAGGATTATAGTGCAAGAGTGTGCAAGCACAAGTGCACTCTCTATTCTCTGACTCTCATAGCGCTATGGGACGGTCAGGCTACTGACCAAAATTTTGAAACACGGAGGTGAAACACCGCCATGTTTCTGACTCCAGGCTGCTGATAAGAATTTCTCTACAGAAAAACCCAAAAACTGATTTTGGCCCGACCGAAACCTGAACCAGAGACCACATGATGAGCAATCGTGTTAGATACCACGGGACCACCGATGCAGTTATATGATGATCTATGATGATAACGATCCATTATGTGTCACTTCCCTTAAAATTCTCACTTCCCTTAACATTGCAAAAAAAAAATAAGGTTTTGAGCCTACCTACAACTATTTACTTCACGCGCACCGTTGTATATCGGGGATATTTTCTATGCTGCGGTCATTACAACAAGGCAGTCGATTATTCGATTATTTGAACTAAGTCGATGATTGAGATATTTCAACGTTTTATATTCTTTCATACAGGAAACTTCCAAGTACTTATAAATAAATAAAATTGAAGTCTATATTTGTAATGTCAAAATAGCAGCTTTTAACTTTTGCATGTGAAAGTATATATCAAGATCTTTATGACAAAAAATAATTTATGATGCATGAAAACACAATGTATCTCTCAAGTAATACATATAATATTAAATAAGATTGTTTAGTGCGATTGCCAAGTCAATTTATTTACTAAAAAAACATAAAAGATTTTTTTTATATTAATATGGTCACTATAAAATGTTGTTAGGTTAGCTAATTACATAATAACTTAACACAAAAGGGCCCTTAAGTAGGAACTGAATGACTTGGTATTACATGGATCTCACAACTTTTTACGGTAGAAGAACTGAGTTGAGAGACTTGATTTTTTTACGAGTTATGTTTTTGATGGCATCTCATTTCTTTTTATAAATAGTTATATCTAGGTACCTATCTACACCTATTATTCCATTATATTATACATATGTAAGTACACTGATTTATTATTATTTACATAGTTGGTGTATCTCGAAAACTGGACCGAAATCGCATAATATTTTAGTATTTTCTTGATTTATATACTAAGCAATAATTATATTCCAAATTTGAAGCTTCTATGTCTGCTCGAAGTGCCTTAGAGTTTTGATGATCGGTCAATGAGTGACAAAATTAAGAAACTTTGTCTAGTTATAATTCTTAAACTACTGGTTCAAATTTAAATAAATTTAAAATATACCGAGTTTATACCTACCTACCTGGTTACTGAAAATTCAGGCTTCTAGTTTTATCCACAACGAAGTTATAGGATTCGAAAATGGCCTGAACTGCTTCGAGAAAAGGATGGTACGGCCGTGCGGCTCTTTTGCTCGTCTTGGCGGGGGCACTGAGGTGCCCCCAGATTTCAATTCTCTGTACTCACCCTTCGAATCACAGCATTAAGCTGCTATTTTACGATGGTATACTGTGAGAGCGTGGTCGTGGAACCCGGTCGAGCGAACCCATTCGTGCTACACCATAATATTGCTGCAGTGCGGCTCTACCGCTTCTAAAATGTGTATTAAATTGAAAACTGAAATTGAAGTAATACATTATGCTTACTTCAACTGTTCAAGATCTTAATATAAAGTAGCGACTGTAATAAAATGTCATAACACTACATTAGGGGTATAGTTAATGCCTCTAAAAAACGCGAAGTAACCAACTCATGCGGAAACTGTTATGTACGCGCGAACTTTTAGCAAGTGTTAAAAACAATTTAATTAGCCTTCTAACTCTGTTTCCCGCAACGTACAACAAAGTTGATGCGCTACATTCAAGATAACTTTGCACTGTGTGCACCCATTGCCACAAGCTTCAGAGAAATATTACAATATCTTTCGCAACAGGACTCGGGACTTGTAGCATTATTAAAAGTTGCATTTTACCCAAAGTTTACCTGAGCTTGTTTGAATTTTTATTATTTTAACACAAAAGACGCACTAGTATTAAAGCAGTAAGATATGGTATCTTTATGAACCTAAATTTAAAGCTTGGTATCTGGTCTTAGTTAAAACAGATAACAAGCCGATTATCCAACCATGTTTTACGAATTTATTGACACATTTGAAAATGCAAATAAGATAATATTTTTTATCTTTTATCGATTATAGTCCGTTGTTAGCTTATTATTTTCGTTGACTGCTTCGTTGATCTTGTTGTCGCAAACGTTTTAGCCTTTTACATTAACAGGTTGAAGTTTTTTTTTTTATTATTATCATAATAAATATTCTATAATATTATGTAAGTATTTAATTTACTAGCAAAATGAAATCTATACAAATAAATACTCGTAAAATTGGAGTGTGTTTGTAATGTCAAAATTACGGCTTTTTACTAAATTCATTTGAAAGTATATACGATATTTATAACAAAAACACAACTTTTAAAATTTTTGTCTGTCTGTCTGTCTGTTTGTTCCGGCTAATCTCTGAAACGGCTGGACCGATTTCGACGGGACTCTCAATGGCAGATAGCTGATATCATGAGGAGTAACATAGGCTACTTTTATTTTAGAAAAAGAATTAGGGTTCCGCGCAAAAAAACTAAAACCCCAAATAACACAGGGGAAGTCGCGAGGATCAGCTAGTTTTTATTTATATAATTAAAGAAAAAAACACGTAAAATGAGTCTCATTAGAACTTTTTTAAGAACTCACTATAAGACTGTTTCTGTATCTTGTTGTTTGTACATAAATAAATAAATAAAAAAGTGTCTGCCACTAGAGAGCCATTCTTTCCCATAGGTTTTCCGAGCTATATTGACATCTCATTGCAATTTCCGCTTACTGAGTCCTTTTTTTCTGAAAGTGTATGCTGTTGGCCCTGCGGCCTTAACAGCTTCATCGAAATAGACTCGTTTCGGACTTTGTTAATCTGATCTTAAGGCCCGTACGCATTGAGGCGACAGCTATAAACCCAGGTTTTATTCTAGCTAATGGTGTATTATTCATTAAGTTAATAAAAATAGCCAAATTAACAGACGATAAGCGCTTCAGGCTAAGTTAGCACTGAAGTGCTTAATCGCTTCGATCAATTCTATATGATCTAGAGAGGCCTGCAGGCGCTCTTTGGCAGAGTGCGCTGTCCTGATTTTGTGTGCTAGAGTGCGCAACTCATTAACGTCAAATATGGTTAAGATTGAACTCATCGGCTAGCTCCTAAAAAGACGGGGAGGAGGTTGGCTTTGCCGCCGGTTGAAGATGGGACTCCTTACGTAGAGCGCGGTTACCTTAGCCGGCGCGCGCGCGGCCGCAGGAGGGGGTGTGGACACCTATTTAGGTGCCATACTTACCATGTTAAAGGGCTTCGCCAAAGCGCTCTGTATAGGAGCTCGAGCAGGGACGAATGCAAGGGGAGGGAGGCTATCCTTATTTAGAGGGCCCTATGCTCTCTTCTGCTTGGGGGCCTGCTTGCGACCCCTAACGCTCTTGCCCCTCTGGTTTGGCGCTTTGGAGGATTTCAGGCACTTACGAAAGTTCGCGTTGTACCCTCTCCGCTCGACAAAGCACACAGCTGGGGGGAGGGGCATTGCAGGTGCACTCGTGGGTGCCGTGATCCACTGTGCATTAAACGCACCTGGGGCGCGCGAAACAGTTGCGGGCTCAGTGGCCATAGAGCTAACTTACTGAGTCCGTTTGACTATGTCGGTATATATAACAAAGATAAAACACAACATTAAATTCTACTGTGGATATACTCATTACGAGATCATACATAGCTCGTTATACCACAAGCTTCCTCATACGGAAACATCAAAATTTCAACAGTGAAAAATATAGTACGTTCCTGAACCACCTGCATGTATCGACTGCCTGCGAGTTTCATCAGTTCCATCTAGTAGGGGATATAAAATAAAATTTATATTAATAATTTTTTATTGGGTTTCTAACATACATTAAAATATTAAATTATCATTACAAATGTGTTTTGAGATAAGTATAGTACAATTAAACAAATAATAAATTTATGTGTTAGTAAGTATTTTTATAGGATAAGACTGACAAACGAGCACACAGTCTACCTGATGATAAATGGTTGCTGTGGCCCATAGACATCTACATTTTATCCTCGATTACGAATCAAAATACAGATGCGTTGTCACCCGTGAGGACTAAGATGGAATGCCTCTTTCCAGTAAAAAGGGTCTCCGGTTTTCTACACCCACCATACGAAACACAGCAGCATTAAGCTGATATTTTACGCTGGTATTCTGTGAGAGCGTGGTCTTTCCCCGGTTGAGCCGACCCATTCGTGTTACAGCTATACCAGAAATATAGCTGCAGCATGGCTCTACCACTTTCAAATAATTGTAATTTTACTTATTTGACTATATATAACATTTGCATACCGTTAAGGTAGAATATTACATCATCATCATCATTACAGCCTTTCGTAAGTCCACTGCTGAACATAGGCCTCCCCGAAGGAATGCCACAAAGCACGGTCCTGAGCCACCTGCATCCATCGACTTCCTGTATGTCTTACCAGGTCGTCACTCCGTCTCGTGGGGGGTCGCCCTACATTTCGCCTACCGGTACGAGGCTGCCACTCAAGAACCTTTCTTCCCCATCGGTTGTCGGTTCTTCGAGCTATATGGCCGGCCCACTGCCACTTCAGCTTACTAATCCATTGGGCTATGTCGGTTACTCTGGTTCTACTGCGGATATCCTCATTCCTAAGTTTATCACGCAGAGAAACTCCGAACATAGCCCTCTCCATAGCTCGCTGAGCGACCTTGAGCTCATTCATACGGCCAGC